CTACCAGCACACGCCATTTTGGCTGCCATCCAGCCAGTGCAGCCATCGGCCGGAGGATGGCTGCGCTGACGGGAACGCAGCCAAAATGGCGCGTGTGCTGGGAGGGCGGAGTGGCCAGGATGCTTTAATTGCAACCATGTGAATTAAGGGTGGCTGGCATGCCTAGTTCTCAGCCATCCGGTAGGAGTGCATGGCTGAGATCTAGGCGTGCCAGCCATCTTTAGCACGGATGGCTGCGAAACAGGGAGCGCAGCCATCCAAGGTGCAGATTTCGAGGTTAGCCGTACCGCGAAGAATTCTCTCCTTCCTCTCCGCCGCCCCCGCCCCCGCGTGCCTCCGCCCCGCTCAGTTCCCACGCACAGCACTGCTTGGTTCCTCTCGACGACCAGCCAGCGAAAACTCGCCGTTGGCTCTCGCACAACGCCAACGAGCATGGCGCCGCGCAATCGTGGCGAGGAGCTGCTGGCGGGTGGCGTAGCGGGCATCGTGTCTAGGACCGCCATCGCGCCGATCGAGCGGGTCAAGATCCTCGTGCAGACGGGCGCCGGCCGCTCAAGTGCTGGGTACACCGGCCTGGTGCGCGAGATGTACCATAACGAGGGGCTGCTCGCCTTCTGGCGCGGCAACACCGCCGGCGTCGTCCGCGTCGTGCCGTACATGAGCGCCACCTTTCTCTGCTACGAGGAGTACAAGGCTGCGCTGCTCGGCTGCGGCGCGCACAAGCAGCAGGCGGCGCTCGCGGCGGGCTCGCTCGCCGGCGTGACCGCGGTCTGCCTGACGTACCCGCTCGACCTCGTGCGCGCGGCGATGGCCAAGCCAAGCTCCCCCTCCTTCTCGGACCTGTCCTGGACCTCTCCTGGAACCTTCCTGTAGGCGATGGCCAAGCCAAGCTCTCCCTCCTTCTCGGACCTGTCCTGGACCTCTCCTGGAACCTTCCTGTAGGCGATGGCCAAGCCAAGCTCGGTCTACACGTCGATGTTCCACGCGCTGCGCTCCATCCTAGAAGCGGAATCTCTCCCCATCTCTCCCCATCTCTCCCCATATCTCGGGCCCTAGAAGCAGAGTACGGATTCATGTGCCCCAACCAGCACTCGAGAGGACTCGCATTCAACTGTATTCAGCCGTGTTCCGCTGTATTCCCTGCACTCGCCACCCCCTCGTCCTCACGCGGTGCTCTGAAGACGCTGCACAGCACCGACTTCCCGCCCTGAGGTTGGCGTACTCAGCGCGTAGGCGCTCCATCTCTGCGGAGCGAGGCGTGGGCGCGCTGTACTCGGGCATCTCGGCGACGGTGCTCGGTGTCGCACCGTATGCGGGGCTCAAGTTCGCCTCGTACGAGGCGCTCAAGGGGGAGATATGGGGAGATATGGGGAGATATGCCCTAATCTCTCCGTACGAGGCGCTCGAGATCACCCGAGATCGTTCGAGATCACTCGAGATCGCTCGAGATCACTCGAGATCGCTCGAGATCACTCGAGATCGCTCGAGATCACCCGAGATCGCTCGAGATCACCCGAGATCGCTCGAGATCACCCAGGCGCTCAAGGGCGTCGTCGGCGCGAGCCTCGGACTCGACGAGTCGCAGCTACGCCCGTGGCAGCGCGTGAGCGCCGGCGCGCTGTATCCGCCGTCCGTTAGAGCAGACAGACCGCGGGAGCGGGTGCCGCGGCCAGTGCAGACCTGGCCTGCGCTGTGACGCGCGCGCGCGCCTCTTCAACGCCTTCTTCACAGCCCGTGTATCCACGCGACGTGAGATGCCGGCAGTACCTGACGTGCTCGCGCCCGAGTTTGGCGCTGTACCTTAAAGGTGCTACATATGTAGAGAGATATGTAGAGAGAGAGCTTGAGCTGTACACGTGACGCAGGCGCCCTCGGCAGCTGTGCGGGCGTGCTGGCGCGGGCGAGACACGCCCGAGAGCCGTCCGAGACACTTCTTAGGCGCCCTCGCCGGGCTGCTCGCCCAGACCGCCGTCTACCCGCTGGACGTGGTGCGGCGGAGGATGCAGATGCACGACGGCAAGACGGCGCTCTACTCCTAGGAAGTGTCTAGGCAGTGTCTAGGAAGTGTCTAGGAAGTGTCTAGGCAAGACGGCGCTCTACTCCTCCCCGTGGAGCGCCGTCGCGACCATCGCGCGCGAGGAGGGCGTGCGAGGAGGTCTGCTCACCCACGCGCACGGGGCCTTGCGTTTTGAATGCCGCGCCAGCTCCTGCCCGTGTCTGGCTGTGGAGATGAGGGCTGCCCCCCTTGCCCAACCACTTCGTGGGAGAAGTGCACCTTCCCTTACCTCGCCCTTAGGCCTCTACCGCGGCCTCTCCCTCAACTGGCTCAAGACGATGCCGAACGTGGCCATCTACATGAGTCTGTACGACATCCTCAAGCTGCAGCTCAGGGGCAGGCTGACGCACGACTGAGGTCTGAGCGGCCGCTCTGTTTGCATGATGACGCTGTCTCGGCGCTTGTGAGTTATGTGTGTGCGTGCGCGCTTCTTGGAAAAATATCAGCCCAGGGATCTCTCGACAAGCGAGCGCTAGTGCTAGTGAACGCCCAGGCCCCAGCGGGAACCGATATGCCTCACAAGTATTTTAGCGTAGGCGGTAAGGTAATGGTAAGGTAAACTTCTCCACACACACGAGGTGGTGGGGCAAGGGGGGGCAACCCTCGCGTCTCCACGTCTAACGACAGGAGCCCCACGGCATTCAAAGTGCAAGGCCCGCTGCGCGTGGGTGAGCGGGGTGTGTGTGTGTGTGTGTGTGTGTGTGTGTGGTGTGTGTGTGTGTGTGTGTGTGTGTGTGTGTGTGTGTGTGTGTGTGTGTGTGTGTGTGTGTGTGTGTGTGTGTGTGTCACGTCACTGCATCCTCTGCCGGTTCCTCCCGTCGCCTCTTCTTTGTTCGAATGTTTTTCAATCCATCCTTCACGAAGCCCTCCCATGTAGCTAGCGTTCTTTGCGAATGTCTCGAAATGGCCAGCAGGCGCTGTCTGCTCGCGGCCTGTGCGGGCCGCTCGTCCTCCTCGCCCTTCTTTCGTCCTCCCGTCCCTCCCCTCCACCATGGCCTCCTCGGCACTTCTTTCTCCATCCGCCTCGCCCTGCCTTTTCGTATCGTGCCGTTCGCCTTCCATCCGGTGACCTCCATGACCGTCCTGACCCGGCTGCTTCAGCTGAAGAGAAGCCAATGGGGCACGGGCCGCCGCAGACGCTGCTCGACTGGTCCTCAGTGTCGGTCGAGCTGTTGAGGCCGGCGGCGCAGGCAAAGGGGAAGTCCTGGTTGACGGGCAGCAGCGGCAAGTGGTAGAGGCTTTTGCCGAGGAGGGAGGGGTAGCCCCTGGTCAAATTCCAGTTGCAAGGCTGCACGAAGGTCGGGGCCTGGCAGTACCACGAATCGCTGACGTTGCAAGCCGCCTGCTTGTCCGTGTCGTGCCTGCGGCAAGCCGCCTCCTTCTCGTCCGATGAAGGCTCGATCGCGCTCTCCGTGAGCGCGCAATCGTCGCGGTGCTCGAGGCAAGGCGCTTGCTCTGGTTTAGGGTCGCCGTTGTCGAAATTGCCGTAAGCGCACGCCTCCCGGTACACCTAATCAATCACCATATCCCCCCAAAACGGAAAGATCGGGCACTTCGCTTGCAGGACGGGCACTTGCAGGAAATCAGGCGCACGCTGAGCCCGCCCCCCGCCCCTTCCTCTCCCTCCCCGCCCGGCGCGCGACGCGTGAAGAGCTCGATCGCGCAGCCGCCGCCGCCCTCCCGCCCTCTGCGCCTCCATCCTGCCCCTCCCGCCCGCACCACGCACGCCCCGCGACCGCCGCTCGATTGGACGCGCACTGGCACCCACCCCAGACCGACTTGCCCCGAAGGAGCCCTCCCTCCGCGCCAAGACCCGCCCCGCCTGCGCCGCTCAGCCGCTCAGCGTCAGCGCCTGAGACGCCAACTCACCCCGCCGCCCCGGCCCCCGCCTGGCGCGCCAGCTCGTCCCGACGGACACACAGCGCCTCGTGACACCCTCACGCGCTAGCTCAGCATGCGCTACCACCCCTTCGCCGCGCGCAAGAACCGCCCCGCCTACGCCGGTCAGTGCCTGAGACTTCAACTCACCCCGCCGCCCCGGCGCCCGGCCCCCACCCCACTCCCTCCATCATCCGCTTCTCAGTCCCACATCCGACAATTGCTCGCTCGCCTGCGCAGGGCGATGGGACACAAGCATTCGAAAGAGAAGCTTGACGGGGAGGTATCAAGCGTCAAGCAGAACTACAAGTGCTTTTGGCCGTGCAGGTCTTTGAGTTCGACAAATGGGGGAAGACGCCCGTCGATAAAAAGCTCTCTGACATCCGCGAGACATTGCAGAAACTCTCGGACAAGGTCAAGAAGGCAGGGAAGACCAAGGCCATCCCCTGGGCGGAGACGGCATAACTCGCAGTACTCGAAGCGCAGTATGCGTTTATCACCAAACATCAGGAGTGGGCATCCGGTGCAAGTGGGCCAGTGGCTCCCGGAACGGAGACTGCAAAAATTGGCTACAAGTATGCGCTCGTACCCCTCGATAACTGGGTGCGCAAAAACACCTCGGGTCCGGTCGATGACGCCACGCAGTTCCATCCCGCATCCGCCGGCCCCAAGCTCGTGATTCTCCAACACGAGTCAACGAGCCCGATGCCGACCCTCCGGCCATGCGGTGTCCTCTAGGGAGTCCTATGTGCACCTGTGTTTGCACGCTCTCCGAGCGACCTGCCTGTGCGCTGGTCTACGAGAGTGGCGGTATGCCGTCCTCCCACATCCTCTCTTGGCTTGTGTCTTGGTTTGTTTCTTTTTTTGGCGATGAAGTTCTTTTTTGCATTTTGGTCTATGAGAACTATCGAGAGCGGGTTGAGCGGTGCGAGCCGCCTGCAATACGTTGTGTTTGTTGTTTTGTTGCCCTGCATGGAGGCCCTTTTTCACATAAAAGCACACGCACCCCGGGCGAAATCGCACAGTGACAGTCGGCTGCGAGCGAGAGCCGCGACTGTGTTCCACATCACCCGCGCGGAGCACCCGCCTCGCCGCCAGTGTGTCCTTGGTCCTCCGTTGTGTACCGCCCGAACTCCCCTCTGTTGTGTACCGC